GATTATTGATCTTCTAAATGATGGAATAATGATATTAAAACTAATAGAATTTGATATATTATTTGACTTAACCTCCGTAAAATTAAAATTTTGTTGGAGGTTGGTCCTTGTTTATCCAACATCACTCCAAATGAAATTCAACACAAATAACTTTTATATGTAAATCGTTGAAGATGACAGATTTAGAGGCGAAAAATTCCATACCTTTATGTGAATTTCGAAATCACAGGAAAAATTATCTTCTGAACCAGTCCTTTATTAGCTCAGTTCTAATATGGAGAGATACTTTCCACAAAGTTCTTCAGGGTTGGTTGCATGGTCCACTACTGCTGACCAGATCTTCTACCTTACTAAACGTATACTGTGTTCTCCTTTGGCTACTTTGGCGTACTTTTTCCAGTAAGTGCTTCATTTCAGACACCCTTTCCATCGAGTTTGTCCTGTCTGTCTTTATCTCCGGCACTCGTGGGACTGTGACAGAAGACTTCTTTGAGAATGGTATGGGTTTGTCAATATATTTTAAAATGGGGAGTTAGGCCTTATTTATTTTCTTGCGTCTAGTATCAACTTCGTAGGAAATCTGGTTCTCATTGCCTCAGAACTAGATCTCAATATATCCTTCGAAATGTGCTGAAATTAATTGATTGAAGATGATTCAGAAGATCACCTTCTCTAACTTTCTCCTCTGTGACCCAAAAAGCAGTTTCTTGGTATTCGACGGCTTAGCATTGCTCTCATTCACCTCTATAATTATCATCTGAGAATTTAGAGTCGGAACCCCCTAGCATATAAGAAAGTTGATATAGCTTAGAGACTTTGTAAATATCTCTGTATGCTGAACGTAGAGTACATATTACTTTATCGCAAAATTTTCTTAATTGATTTTCATTGTTTCTTTTATTATTCTTCCGCCTGTTAATTTGCTAAATTTGTTGCGCTCTCTTTTTTTTCGGACACTGCTGCCACACTGGCAGACAAACAAACTGAGTAACTGCCTGAGTGACTCCGTTAGTGGGTGGTTAACACATGTGTGAGTGTTGTTTTTGCATACAATGTATACAAACATGTATGATGCCATTGTGGTGTTGTTGGCCGACATTGAACTCGAACTGTCAAATGCTAAACTTTACATTCATATGAATACACAAAAAATACACACATTGGAATCTCTTCCATAGCGCGATACAGTTCAAGAGCCCGCGTGTATTTTTTTTAACAGACAAAAAAAAAAACGTGATTTTTTTTGGGTTTGTTTGTTTTTTTTAAAAAAGCTTGGTGGTCTTAATTGTTTTATTTTTGGCCAATTTTTTTTTTTTTTTCGTTTAAATAAATTGTCATATTTTTAATGGGAACATTAATTTCTGTCCAATTCATTGTTTACATATGTGTATCATTAATCTGTCTGTCCAACTATAGTTGTCAGGCTGTCACTTGACATACAAATGACTGCAGACGGATTTGACATTTTCATCCATATTTACGAGGTTGGTTAAGAAAACTAATGCTATAAATAATAAACAATAATAAATGTATGCAATTTGGTTTTCTTTTTAAAATTGGTTAATTAGTTTTGCCGTTTCTTTTTTTTCTTTTATCTTTTGTTTTATTATTTTCCATTTATGTTTTTATTTCTCTTTCGATAAGTGATGATTTATTGTGATTGTTAAAGAGAGTTGGCCCATATTTGCAACTTTATATTTAGTATGATTGTATGCTTTGTATTGTTTCCGGTCTGATTTATTAGCAGACATGAAACATAATTATTGGGAAAATATGATTTAAATTAGTGGTTAGCATTGAAAAAATAGAAATATGTACTTAAAACTGTTTACATATATTAATTTAGCAGAAAAACTGCTCGAACACGAATTAAACGTTTTGAAAAATTTTACATCCACGGTATGTAATGTAATTAATGTACAACATGCAATTTAGTTTAATAAACATTAATGCTTTTCAAAGTATTATTAAAAATTTGTTTACTTAAATCACTTAAATAAGTCGGTACATATAAGCTAAGTAAAAAAAGGTGCAACTCGACTCGGAAATCGTTTGAGTCCGTTGTCTCTAGACCATAGAGTATAAATTATACTAGGCTATAGAATATATCGCTCATTTACTACTAAACTGGCCAATCTTGAAGTAAATAAGCGATATATTGTAGCCTATCGCCTTGCTTATAATCTTGTTTATAGTCTAGTCTAAAGTAGTCTATAGTCTAGTCTATAGTCTAGTCCATATTCTAGTCTATAGTCTAGTATATATTCTAGTCTATAGTCTAGTATATAGTCTAGTCTAGTTTATAGCCTAGTCTAGTTTATAGTCTAGTCTATAGTCTAGTCTGTAGTCTAGTATATAGTCTAGTATATAGTCTAGTATATAGTCTAGTATATAGTCTAGTATATAGTCTAGTCTATAGTCTAGTCTATAGTCTAGTCTATAGTCTAGTCTATAGTCTAGTCTAGTCTAGTCTATAGTCTAGTCTATAGTCTAGTCTATAGTCTAGTCTATAGTCTAGTCTATAGTCTAGTCTATAGTCTAGTCTATAGTCTAGTCTAGTCTATAGTCTAGTCTATAGTCTAGTCTATAGTCTAGTCTATAGTCTAGTCTATAGTCTAGTCTATAGTCTAGTCTATAGTCTAGTCTATAGTCTAGTCTATAGTCTAGTCTATAGTCTAGTCTATAGTCTAGTCTATAGTCTAGTCTATAGTCTAGTCTATAGTCTAGTCTATAGTCTAGTCTATAGTCTAGTCTATAGTCTAGTCTATAGTCTAGTCTATAGTCTAGTCTATAGTCTAGTCTATAGTCTAGTCTATAGTCTAGTCTATAGTCTAGTCTATAGTCTAGTCTATAGTCTAGTCTATAGTCTAGTCTATAGTCTAGTCTATAGGTCTAATCTATAGTCTAGTCTATAGTCTAGTCTATAGTCTAATCTATAGTCTAGTCTATAGTCTAGTCTATAGTCTAGTCTATAGTTCTAGTCTATAGTCTAGTCTATAGTCTAGTCTATAGTCTAGTCTATAGTCTAGTCTATAGTCTAGTCTATAGTCTAGTCTATAGTCTAGTCTATAGTCTAGTCTATAGTCTAGTCTATAGTCTAGTCTATAGTCTAGTCTATAGTCTAGTCTATAGTCTAGTCTATAGTCTAGTCTATAGTCTAGTCTATAGTCTAGTCTATAGTCTAGTCTATAGTCTAGTCTAGTCTAGTCTTGTCTAAGTCTAGTCTAGTCTATAGTCTAGTCTATAGTCTAGTCTATAGTCTAGTCTATAGTCTAGTCTATAGTCTAGTCTATAGTCTAGTCTATAGTCTAGTCTATAGTCTAGTCTATAGTCTAGTCTATAGTCTAGTCTATAGTCTAGTCTATAGTCTAGTCTATAGTCTAGTCTATAGTCTAGTCTATAGTCTAGTCTATAGTCTAGTCTATAGTCTAGTCTATAGTCTAGTCTATAGTCTAGTCTATAGTCTAGTCTATAGTCTAGTCTATAGTCTAGTCTATAGTCTAGTCTATAGTCTAGTCTATAGTCTAGTCTATAGTCTAGTCTATAGTCTAGTCTATAGTCTAGTCTATAGTCTAGTCTATAGTCTAGTCTATAGTCTAGTCTATAGTCTAGTCTATAGTCTAGTCTAGTCTAGTCTATAGTCTAGTCTATAGTCTAGTCTATGGTCTAGTCTATAGTCTAGTCTATAGTCTAGTCTATAGTCTAGTCTATAGTCTAGTCTATAGTCTAGTCTATAGTCTAGTCTATAGTCTAGTCTATAGTCTAGTCTATAGTCTAGTCTATAGTCTAGTCTATAGTCTAGTCTATAGTCTAGTCTATAGTCTAGTCTATAGTCTAGTCTATAGTCTAATCTGTAGTCTAGTCTATAGTCTAATCTATAGTCTAGTCTATAGTCTAGTCTATAGTCTAGTCTATAGTCTAGTCTATAGTCTAGTCTATAGTCTAGTCTATAGTCTTGTCTAAGTCTAGTCTATAGTCTAGTCTATAGTCTAGTCTATAGTCTAGTCTATAGTCTAGTCTATAGTCTAGTCTATAGTCTAGTCTATAGTCTAGTCTATAGTCTAGTCTATAGTCTAGTCTATAGTCTAGTCTATAGTCTAGTCTATAGTCTAGTCTATAGTCTAGTCTATAGTCTAGTCTATAGTCTAGTCTATAGTCTAGTCTATAGTCTAGTCTATAGTCTAGTCTATAGTCTAGTCTATAGTCTAGTCTATAGTCTAGTCTATAGTCTAGTCTAGTCTATAGTCTAGTCTATAGTCTAGTCTAAAGTCTAGTCTATAGTCTAGTCTATAGTCTAGTCTAAAGTCTAGTCTATAGTCTAGTCTATAGTCTAGTCTATAGTCTAGTCTATAGTCTAGTCTATAGTCTAGTCTATAGTCTAGTCTATTATCTAGTCTATAGTCTAGTCTATAGTTTAGTCTATAGTCTAGTCTATAGTCTATTTTATAGTATAGTATATAGTGTAGTCTATAGTCTAGTCTATGGTATAATCTATAGTGTAGTCTATAGTATAGTCTACATTCTTTATATGTATTAGTGATTTAGGTAATAATGATGAATCTTAAGTCGTTATATTATAATATATATATAAATTATATGGGGCTCTTAAATTTTCAAAAAAAAAAAAATTCATAATAGGAAAGTTTAAAAGAACATTCGAAGAGTATTTTCAATTTAAACGTTAATATTCAAGTTATAACTGTTTCTTAAGAATTCTGGTACATTTAAAAAATATGGTATTACTATATAGTCCCAAAAAGTCGGTCACTTATTTATTGTTTACTTCTTTTTATTTACATATTTCTTCAAATTTGAAAGCCTGAAAACACGCCCCAACATAATAAATTTTGTAATTTGCTTGTAAAATTTGCAAAATATAATAAATAAATTAATATTTTTTTTTATAAATTTTTATTATGTATTATTCATATAGTTTTTAACGTTAATAGCTTTAGCTTTCCTTTCTAATTTTAATGTATTTTTTAAAAATTTCTTTGCAGATAACATCATCATTAGTATTATAACTTCATTAATCACTTTGGAAGAGCGGAATTCATTAATAAAACAAAAAAAAACATCTCAAAGAAAGAAATTTAAACACTGACTTTTAAGTAAAACACCTCTATAAATAATACAAGGACTTTGGTGTGAAATTCCACCACTGGTACTTAAGTTCTAACAACAACCAAACCTATAATTCCCATTTGAAATACTTAAAAACAAAATTCTAACAAAATGGTAGATTATTACAAAGTTCTAGAGGTACCACGTCAAGCCACAGAAGGAGAAATTAAAAAAGCGTAAGTTTTTTCTTTAGTAAATTAATAAAGATAATAAAGCTAATGTTTTTATCCTTGCAAATTAGTTACAGAAAATTGGCATTAAAGTGGCATCCGGATAAAAATCCAGATAATTTAGATGAGGCCAACAAACGTTTTCGTGAATTATCCGAAGCCTATGAAGTGTTATCAGACGGTAAGTTTTATCAACCATATAAACAAATATACCAAATTATAAATCTCTTTGTTTATATACACACTTTCTTACTATAACTATTTTGTAAATACAATTTAAATTATTTTCTTTTCTAAATATTTTATGTTATTTAAACTATAAAAAAAATAAACTAAATGAAACTGTATCAATTAAATTATCGTCTGTCTGTCTGTATGTTTGTGTGACTAGAACGCAAACGAAAAATATACGATTCTCGCTCGACTTTACATAAAAGCAGCTACAGTAATTCATCATCTTACTCGTCGACTAATGGTTATGGTGGCACAAATGGTTATGGTAGTGGTTATCGCTATCGTACCACAGGTGCCAAAGACTACGATGATTATATACCCAGTTATGGTTCATCAAAGCGTGGCAATCGCTATCAAACATTCACCTTTAGAAATCTCTTCGAATCTACACCATTCCACAAACTGTTTGGTAAAGGAAACATTTCTAAATAAAATAAACAAAATAATACAAAATAAAAAAACACAAGCGTTCTACGTTATTTTTGCATTGTTGAGAAAAAAACATTCCAATAATTTGTTGTTACTAAAACCAAAAAGAAAAATTGCACTTGTATTGTAATAACAGAATTAAAATCAAAAACCATTCAGAAACAATGGATGCTGGTTGCTGCCAGCAAGCTGCTCCCTGTACATTGTACAGTTTTTGTGCTGCTGCCTGACCATCAGCCTGCTTGCTACTGTTTAATGCGCGTTGTAAATTTATTACTATTACTGTTTGTTGTTGTTGTTTTTTTTTTCTAAATAATTTTTAACAATTCTCTAACTCATTATTAAACGTTCGAAAACTAACACAAACATTTTTCCACAAAATAAAAGAATTCTTGTTCGATTTGCTGTTTTCCTTGTTAGCCTGTGTTGCTTGTTGGAAAATTGCATTTTTATCAGAACATTTGTTAAATACTAATTTTGCCTTCTCACTTACCCCTTTGCATACTTGCTACTGTTGTTAAGAAAAAATTAATTTGTTTCAGTTTGTTTAGTTAATTTAAATTGTTTAAACTTTTTAGATTAACCACATGTCTATTAAAATAGAATTTCCTATAACGAGATAATTTTAAGCTCTTAAATCGTATCTAGAGTTTCTAATTCAGCAAGTTTTTCAGTCTCGGGAACTGACTAACAATAAATTTTATTCCTGGGTATTATCAAAAACCCATTAACAATGTTTTCGTTGTTTTTGGTCATAATTTAGCAATTAAGAAATAGATTTCTTTGGTTTTCAAACTTATGAATGTTAGCTTAGTCCAAGGTTTGGGTCTTTAGGACACCAAATTTTTCAATTTTTGAAATTATATTAATAAATATGTACCTCAAAAAAGCATTAAAAAAGGTTTTTATCCACAATTTTCCCAACTACCGGATAAATACCGGGTAGAATCCCATCTATGTAAATCTATTCGAGATATATCGGAAAAAATTGGCAAAAATATAGGTTTTCTGCCGACATTTTTGATTGATTTCATCTTTCAAATCAAATAAACTGTTTAAAAGCACAGAGACAGTTTTCATTTTACTTAGGACCAATCTTTAGGTAAAAGATTAGCGATTAAATTAAAATTAATCCTCGAAAGATGTTTTTGAGTACTCAATTAGTTAATTTTGCTTTCAAGTTTAAGCGCCCAATGGAGGTGGTTTAATCTTAAGCACGAAATGCAAAAGTGTAAACAGCTGATGCAAAAAAATTAATAAAATTTTTATAAATATAAACATTAAAATGTTCTATTTATTGATTAGTATAAATTATGGACACTTCAAAATACATTTTTTTGTTTTTAATTTAAGTTTTCATTAATTTTCATATTAAATTTACAATTGTCTTCTTCTTTTTATAAAATATGCATTGTTTTGATAACAAACAGTGAAGTTTTCTGTTGTTTTGTAAGGCAACACTGCGAAGTTTAATCATGTACTCAAAAACATCAAAGGGGATTAACATAAGATTAAATTTATTTTTAGATTAACTAATCTGATTATTAATTGGCATTTGATTACCATCGCAAAAACCCGCTCTTAAAGAATCCAATTTGAAGTTTATTCTCTTTCATGTATCTGGTACTCAAACATAGAGAAAAGGATTAATATTTCAAATTTGCAATGTACATGTTTTATAAAAAAAGAGCTATAAGCAGAGAGGAGCAGATATAGATTAGCTGAGTAGAGTCTTGAAATATGCAGTGTGAGCAGTATCATGCAATTAGAAGAAGTAGGGAAAGATATTGCAGCCAGAGACTCATGCAATCAGTAGTTACTATTTCCAAGCCAATTGCTATGCCTTATGAAGACATCTGTAAGGTTTATCCTAAGGTTAGAGAGAACTGACGCTGAAAAGTTGCCCGAATAACTTAGATCAATTTCTTAAACTTATCATGATAACTTCAACAGAAGTGATTATGGGATAAACCAAGTCTTCTAGCATGAATGTCAAACTTACAGTGTGCTGTAATAACTAAGCAATCATGTTGCTTAGTTGAGAACAAATAATTTTCAGAAGATATGCCTTTAATTCTATATCCACTTTAAGAGATATTTCTTAATTCAATTTCGTTGGAAAAAGGCGTCTGTTTTGCCAGTTTATTAGCAATACAGTGACCAATAGAGTCCTCGTATCCCCGTTCCCATATTAGTATGTATGGTATTCCTGCACCAATTTTGATGAGGTGTAAGAGAGATGCCAGTCAGAGATTTTATTTCTTTTCAATATTCTATAATACCATAATCAATTTACCTGCTCTTTTTGTGGTATTCATGTCGAATTCTGAAGGTTACCCTACTTGCTTTCCTATTTTAAGGTCATCCGTAAATACAGAGATGTTATGTGGGAAGATGCTTTCTTTCAAATCTCGTATTATACGATATTTTGAAAACCAAGATGGAAGTAGATTTTGTAATATTTGTATGATCTGTAGGACCTATAACGTCATGGCCAGGGCTATGGTCAGTCCAACAAGGCTGTTGGAAACCAGTAAAACAAAGTGAATAGATCGTCTTTCAATGTTTTTTAATGTTATCCACCAAAAATTAACCCCATAGGAACGGGGGTTTAAAAATCAATTTAACAAGATTTGGTTTTAAACCCCATCTTCCTCCGATAGTTTATAGATATAAGGCGGTTAAGTCATACAATTTCAAGTTTAAATATTTGTTCGTAAATTATAATTTCTCGCCGTTCAATCGAAGACGTGTGGATTTTGTATTTCCTAGAGAATACTACAATTTCAGTTGCTCTTTTTGACTCCATCAACTTAATGCGCATCTTCGAGTCTTTGTGAAATTGTTTTCAGATGACAGGGATCCACCGCCACGTCATCCATATAGGCAATAGTTAATGTTTCAGAGAATCTAACTCCACGAGCAAAGTTTAAAAAGTGGATAGATAGCAAATACTAGAGGTGTACCCCTATTGGGCATTCATAAAATGTATCTTACAGCTCGCATCGACGGTTGGTATCAAAAGTCTCAATTTAAGCTCCCCTAATCCACCAAACGGAATGCATACAAAGAAATACAATTCATCATACTTATTTGTTTCACATTAAACCGGAAAGTTTATTTTTATCCTGCCGGATATATTGGTTTTAATCAATTTCGTGATAGCCTCTCTACTTAGAAACTGAAAACATATTAAAGACATTGAAAATTTGTAAATCGGTATATAAAAAGAAGATTTATGCACAATTTGAAACGATTGTAATGCACACACAACCTTAATATAGTTTTACATAGATTATTCATTAAAAGAAAATGTCTAAACTATTGTTAATAAATTAACTACAAATTAATCCTTTATACATTTTGTATAATTTCGTTGAGTTTTTGTTTAAAACTAAAAAATTAATAAAAATATCACATAATTGAAAAAAAATGTTTGTTAAAATTTTGTTTTTACTAATATTACAGAGAAAAAACGTCGTGTATATGATCAATATGGCAAAGAAGGTTTATTGGGAGATCGTGGACACCATCGTTCATCTCGACATCATACACATGATTTCGATGATTTCGACATAATGGGTGGTTTTCCATTCGTGTTCCGGCCGCCAGAAGAAGTTTTTCGTGAATTTTTCGGTGGAAACTCACCGTTTGCTGATTTATTTAGAGGTAAACAAAAAACTATTTAGACAATTTTTTATAAAGATAAAATTTAAATCACAATTTGTATTGCTTACAATTACAGAAGTCCACTACAGTTCACAGCAAGGTAGCCGGCGTGCAAATGGTTCTTCTTCAGGCAGTCGAAGCCATCATCATCATCATCCTGGAGCTAATGCAAAATTGACTTCACCCTTTGCTTCCCCCATGCTCAATTATTCTATGATGGACTTTTTAATGCCCAGCAATGGTTTTACCTCATTCTCATCCTACAGCAGTATGTCGAATGGTAGTGGACGCACCAATGGTGCAGGCACAAATGGAGCTGTTAAACGTACTTCAACATCGACAACATTTGTTAATGGCAAAAAATTAATGACAAAGAGGTATAAAAACCTAAATGAAATATTTTGAACTAAAACTAAAATTTCCATTTATATGTTATATCCCCTTTTTAGAGTCTATGAAAATGGCAAAGAAACGGTATTTTCATATGAAAATGATGTCCTGAAATCAAAGACTGTGAATGGAGTTGCCCAAAAACTCTCTTCAATTACCAATTAAAATACAAAATATAAAAAAATCAAATAAGAAAACAAAAAAGTCATTTCTACTAGATACAAACTGAAGACCAAGATGTTCTCCTCTTTACACGTTTTAGCAAAATAAAGGAAAACAAATTTTGAAAAAAATATTAACTGCTACAACAAAACTCCTCAATTAAGCACACAAAATTTTTTAATTTTTATTTCCATTTTATTTTTATTATTATATTTTGCTTAAACTTTAAAATTAATTAATTGTCTTAGTATTTAGTTTAAATTTATACAAAAATTAAAAAAAAAAAACACAGAAATACAGCAAAGAGATTTCGTTAAAACTATGAATATAATTCCTTTGTTCTAATAAAATTCAAAAAAAAGAAAAATAATCTCTTTTATATTAATGAAAATTTGTATATTTAGATATAACATTGTACTGCTTGCTTGCTGCCTGGTATGAATCGTTATTATTATGAATGAGTTGCCGAAGATTGAGAAAAAGTGAAGTTAAATTAAATAGAATCAAAATAAGAAAAACAAAAGGAAGAAAAACATTTAAGAAAAATTTGAATTATATGCAAAATGTTTAATGTTTTTACAATTAATTTTTGGGTTTTTCTTTCTTTTAATTTGTTCATTTTAATATGTATGCTTAAGTTTAGTTTATAATTATTACAAATCTAAGATGTTCTCTAGTTTATATTATAATTTGTTTGCTTAAATAATTTACCATATACATAAACAAATAATAGCATTAAAATAATATAAAAATCTAAAATATAAAAAAAATTAAACAAAGTTCTATTCATTATGAAAGAATTCAAGAAATGCCAATTAATAAAAACAAAATAAAAAAAGGAATTAATTTTAAAGTAATTAATTAATAAATGTACTACATACTTTAATTTTACTTACAAATTAATTTATTGAATTTATAAAAACCTTAAAAAACATGTATGAAAAACAAAAAAAAAAAACTTTGAAATTAATAAATAAAAAATCTTATAAAAAATAAAATACAACAAACACATAAATAAATAAAAAATCATTTAAAAATAAACTAAGCAAGTCTGGTATTATTATTACTTTATTAAATAGGAATTTATAGTAAAACTGTAGATAGATGGATAGATAGATAGACAGACAGACAGACAGACAGACAGACAGACAGACAGACAGACAGACAGATAGATAGATAGATAGATAGATAGATAGATAGATAGATAGATAGATAGATATGTGGATAGATAGATATGTGGATAGATAGATAGATAGATAGATGGAATCAAAAAGGACTACTTTTAAACAATAGAGTAGGAGAATCAATAACAGCACGAAACATCATTAAATATATGCTGAAATCAAAGGAATACTGGAAATATTGCGAAGATTATATAAACACAGTACTGAAGGAAATATGTTCTTTAGTTCCGAACCTCCCACGGTAGGAGGATGTAGGAGCGAAATAAAACAAAACATGAACAACAAAAAACCACCCACCCTGATGGAATGCTGGCGCAGTCCCGGGGTGGATTTGGGATGTCGTAGGGCCACTAGATGGTAGCATGCTACCTCTACGTCCAAAAAAAAAAGATAGATAGATAGATAGATATTAGTAACTAAGTTAGTTAGCTATCAAGTTAGTTAGCTTATTAGTTTATAAGTATTAGTTACCCACGACCTCCGGTCTAACAAACTAGAACACTAACTAATCGCAGGTTTGTCTCATATTAAATTGTGATGATACAAATATTGTGTTTTTATTTACGTCAATTTCATTTTAGATTTTTCTGATCTCGTACATTTTTGTAATTCCCAGATCAATGTTTTAACGGCAACTATTCTTTCTGCCTCGTATCCCCAACCAAATACTGATGGTTATTATTAATATTATTTTCTAAAACCGAGTTGTTCCATAATTTGTTGTTAAAATTTGTAACATGATTTATATGAAATACATTTCTAAAAATGGGCCGTTATTTCATATTAATTTAGGCAGTAATTTCGTATCGTTGGGACTTTTATTCATTTTTAAATTGTGGAGTTATTTCACAATGAAACAAATCCCCAAAGTTGAGGAGTTATTTCAGTTTTGTTTTGGGGTGTTAGTTTATGACGCCAAGATATCGATCCATCAAATTAAAATTGGCAATAATACTACTGTATAAAAATTAAGAAATTTCTTACTTTTGAAATTCAAATTTGATTTCAAAGTAATCACTCCTATTCTACATTACGATAACGTTTCCGCATTCAGTTACGGTAGATAGAAGCATTTTATTTCAATGTTTAACGATTTTGTGTATCGTCCTTAAATAAAATTGTTTATTCAATTAAAACCACATTAAAATGTTTGTTAATTCATGTATTTAAGTATTTATTATTTTGACACAATAATTTAGATGTACTACATTCATTGATTTAGTAATTAATTAGGGAAATAACTTTTATTTAAATTGATTGAAATGTTCAAATATTTTATTTTTATGTCACTACATGCACATACATATCAATTACATATTTTAATTATAAGTATTTGAATGCAAACATTCATTAATTCATTCGATACATTCATAATTCATAATTATTAATTAATAAGGTATAATTTAAAATGACTAGGAATACTGGATTGTGCAAAACTACTCTACTTTGGATGACAGGCATGGCATCAATATCAATCGTACGTAATTATCAGCTACTTTAGGGATAAATTTCAAATTCAGTTTTAGAAAAAGCAATAAAGAATGTGAAGCACAAAACAGTTTCCAACACCTGTATACAAATCAAGTCCATATGTTTGTTGCTTTTTTTAAATAATTTTTACTTTATTTTTTTTTTAAGTTTAATGTTTTTGTTGTGTTACTTAATATCATTTAGTTTTGTTGTGTTTAGCAAATTCGAAGACAACAAGATGATGCTACACTTTTCAAGTGCTGACTACCTTTTTGATATTTTTAGAAAAAAAAGTTACAAAAATAAAAACAACAAAGGATACTAAGTAAGTGATAAATTAAACATAAAAAATAATTTAAAACTATAGCGTACATATTCATATACATATTAGTACATAGTTAAACAAATAATTATTGCTAAATATTTCATTTCTAAATAATATAAAAATTCAAAACAAAGAACTTTACCACTCTAAGGACACGAAGAATCCTTAGGATATAGTTTTTAAATTGTTGTATTTAATAGTAGAGTGTATTTCAATAATGAGTCTTATTACGGTGTGTGCGATTTTTTACTTAAAATTAAATTAGTTTTCTACATATACATAAAAAAACAAAAACTAAAATAAAATATAAATTTTTAAAAATATTAAAAATTAAATAAATATTTTTGATTATTAAATAATTTTAATAAATACATTAACAACAAAGTAAAAAAATCTATATATTGTCATTTAATTCATAATGAGGCAAAGAGTGTAAATAAAAACAGAAAAATATAAGAAAAGAAAGGAAAATTAAGAATAAGTAATTTGTTAGAAACATAGTTGTATTGGTTATAGAGAGGAGGGTAGCAACAATGGCAGCAATAGCAATATCTTGTGTAAAGCCTCAGTATTGCATTTTATATATTTGTAGAGAGGCCATCGTCACCTGTTATGACCATGACCGGCTGCATGGGCCTTTGCTTGTTTTTGATTTGTTTGCATAGACTGCGAACCACTGGAATGACTAGATGATGTATTTGCTGCAGCTCCAGCTGCAGATGACGATGACGAAGCGGAGGCCGATGTAGCCGAGGGAATGTGATTGTGTTGAAATCGCTCCCGATCACGTTCAGACTGATGCTGATTGTGGTGATGATGATGATGACGACGTCCGCCACGGAAATGATGACGTCTACCACCACCTCCGCCGCTATGATGATGATAATTATTATTAGTTGGATCTTCGCGTTGTATATTTTGAACAACTGGCGCAAAATTAGTTTTCATAATTGAACCATTCGAGTCCTAAAGAAATAAACGTTAATATTTTTATAATGTTCCAACAAAATGTAAAGAAATTATATAAATACAATGATATTAATAAAAAAAAAACACAAAAATTAACATCCATACCTTCTGTACTTGCTGTTCAGCTACAGATCCAGCATCAGGTGTAGCAGAACCACTGCTACTGCCGCCGCTAAATTCAGCAAAATTAGAAGAAAAATTATTACCACCACTCTCGGGAGTTTCAGCAGCTGTTGTTTCTTCCTGCTGTTTACGATGCAGTCGACGACGAATTTCCTCTTCCGTTTCAATAGACAATACGGCACCCACTTCAGCTTCAGAATCTATTATAGCGCCACGACTTTTCTGATGTATAAACAATGAAGTCATTCGTTGTTGTAATTCTCTCAATTCGGGAGTTGGTTTAAAATCTGGAGCATTTTGCAAATCAGAGGGTGGCATGGCACAGCGTAAACTATCAGTTTCATCCTTAATATTCTCACGACACACTGGACAATGGGCTTGAAATGGTTTGGCGGTTTTCTGTTGCCAAGCCGGCAATTTATTATATTCATCCTGGTAGTTGCGACGCATTGCATTCAAGTGGCGTGCTAGACAATAACTATGCAAATAGTGGAAGCATTCAGTGCGTGTAAATTCATCGCCATCACAAAAACCATACAAACACACCACACACTGACCACTGGGTAAATTGCTGCCTGTCAAGTGCTCACGGACGACTTCAATCAAATCAAATACCACGGGGAATCCAATCGATTCATTGAGTTTACTTTCTATAGCAGTTTTTATATCCGTCAGACGTGTATCGTCCAATCCACGTGGACGCACTAACTTATATTCAGGACTAACTTCTGGATAGCCAGGGGTAGGTATTACCTGCAAAGTAACGCAGACATATTGCTGATCTGTGTCCTCGCCAACCACCGGAAAAATCGTGGTTTCAATTAACTGCGGAATACTGAAAGCACAATTTTATTCAATTTAATTTGCTGATGATGTTTTTTACCGAAATAATCTATTTTTTACCTTTCTGAATTTCGTTCTATAAGCACATCGTCCATTAAAATTGCTTCTAAGGACTCCACTTCATCCAATAATCTGTTTGCCAAAGAAATTTCAATTGAAATCAATTGTTTTTGCAATACTTAATGCTTTCTTAACTACTTACGCATCCATTTTAGGTTTCTTAAATGTAGATTTTTTTAAATTTTGCAAATTTAATGATTTTTTCTTTCTTCACTTTCGAGTTGCATCAAAAAATCGATTTTAAACTACTCCTTCCCAGAGCCCTGCGCCGACAAATATTAACGGCGGCGGCGGTTGACACTAAAAATATCGGCGGCGGCTTAAAATCGACCTTAAGCCGGCTAAGTTCTCATATACGCTTAATTTTAAAATTTTCAAAGATTTTAAATAAAAACGGTATCCGAGAGATAAAAAAGTGGGACTTTGTATATAATTTATAACAAAGTATATTAATAAAGTAGCGACATCTCTTGTTGTACAACAACATCTACAACAACCACATATATTTTGTTTTTGGAATAATTTAAGATTGTGTCAAAATAAAATTTCCTTGAACAACAATGTGAACAAAACATAAATAAAAAATATTACTTTTAAGTTAAAAATATTAACAATTTAATTATATGATTATATATTATACAATTTATTACACTTTTAAACTACTTTAAAACCACTTTTAATTCACTTTTTCAACTTTTCACAAATTTTAACAAATAGCAAAACACAATTTAAAAATGGCGACGTAAACAATGTTAACAATTTTCAAAACAAACTTTGACAACTTGCTTCATTTATCTAGTTTAAAAAAATAGTCAGCTGTTCAAGTGATGCTACTTTATTAATATACTTTGATTTATAACAATGAAATAGAGCAAGCACAAAAGTTGTGTGAGAAATTATGCAGGGATGGAACAAAAAAAAATTAAAAAAAAAACAATTTAAAAATTGATTAATTCTTAAAAATTAAAAACAAATCCTTTATTTTTGCCGCATAGTGTAATCTATATAATAAAATTTTGAATAATCTAAATAACATTTTAATTTGTTTTTTTTTTAACTTTAATTTTTAATACGTAATTAAAAGCGCCTCTCAAAGACCATTCACATGATATCAAAATTAATTATCATACCTCTACGTGAAACATAAATAAAATAGGAAAAACTTTAAAAAAGTTCGTTTTTATTATTTGATCCAGATCACCAAATATTGGTCAAGGACACACATTTTGGGAAACGGTATCTTATAATGGACCACGAGATGACAAAAGTCAATTTATTTTCAATAGCTGTCGGCGGTAACATGGCAGCCAGCAAATCCATTAGCATTGTAAAATAATTTCAATTGAGTTATGCCAGTCAAAAGTGCTTGCCTTCTCGCAGCTTTTAGAGAAACGGTTCCAAAATGGGGGTCCGCGGACTCCTAGTGGTCCGTAGCAAAATCCTAGGGGGTCCGCGAAGACCAACGAAAAAACATGGATAAACAATATTTTTTTTATATTTGTACTAGGGATGCCAATCGGGACTGGTTTTTAGAAATCCCGGGATTCGGGATTTTTAAATAAATCCCGGAATCCCGATATCGGGATCCCGGGATTTTCGGGATTTCTAAATCCCGAAAAATATAAAAAAAATTCAAAAAATCTTAATAATTTACCGACAAAAATAAAATGTTTTATTTCATATTGCAATATGAATACTCTTAGTAGGTGTTTAGTTTCCAATAAGCATTTTGTGAAAAGAAAAACAAATTAATTCAAAGTACATACTTAGAATAAAAATCTTTCCATCCCAGGCACTGAATAGTAGAATAAAAACCTGAAATAATACCCATGATATCCAAATTTACAATGGTTTCCAAATAATATTTAAATAGTATGTGTAATGGGGATCCATACGAGGCTACATAGAGCACCTGTACTGCACCTATATCTCCTCCACCTTATATCCCGTGTTCACTAACCAAGGGAATTATCTTCTCGCCATCTTATTGACAGGTTGACTTCCATTATAGATATCCGATAGTATCAATGCCTATTTATTGCCCTTTTTATACCCTTAGTAGGGATGGTATATTGGGTTTCTCCGGAGTAGTGCTTTTGTTTTATACTGTCCTAAAATACGCTGATGAAATTTGAAATGATCGGGCTTTTGATCCGAGCCCCCATACAAAACACAGCTTTAAAAAAGAATTAGTGTCCACAATTCGCTTAAAAAGAGAACTGTCGCAATGAAATTCAGCATAAAACATTTTATGTAACCGTAAATTCGCCCTCCAAATTTTATGAGGATCGACTCATATGATGGCGTCCTTCCCCAAGCATATTTCAGAAAAATAGTTTTTTAACAATAAAGTGCTAGAATATATCGGAGGCGAGGTATACTTTTATAATGAAAACTAAATTACATTTTACTCTCATAACTGGGGTTATATGGTCGGCCTCGCCCGCCTATAATTTCGTACTTGTTATTTTTATATATCCGATAGTATCTATGCCTATTTAGTATAGCAATGAAATTTGATATTCGTAAATCCCTGACGAGCCAAAACCTCTCTACCAAATTTTATGTGGGTCGGTTCATAATTGACCCTACCCCCATATAAGGTCCCGTTAAAAAAAATGACTTTAACGCTCATTACTGGCTTAAAAATACGAGTATAGCGATGAAATTCGATACACATATGTTTCATGCGAGTCAAAATCTCTCTACCAAGTTTTATGTGTTTCGGTCCATAATTGACCCTACCCCTACATAAGGTCCCATCCAGATAAATACTTTAACGCTCATTACTGGCTTACAAGTACGAGTGTAGAGATGAAATTTGAGATAAGTAAGTTTCTTACTCGCCAAAAGCTAAGAAACTTTTATAGGAACGTAAATCTTCCTACCGGAAAGTGTATGAACCAAAATTGGTCTAAAAAAATTATGAAAAATTTTATAAAAACGGTCAATGATTCACCCTACCTCTCATATAAGGTCCTATCAGTAAATTTGATGAGTAATATCACCCTGATGTTTATAGAAAAGCATATTCGGCATAGCCGAATATAGCACTCTTACTTTTTTTTGATATTTCAGCTTGTAAGTTAGTAGAGTCATCTTAAGTCCAAAAACTTTTTAAATTCTCTTATTTAGTACTTTATAATGTATAAAATAGCGGAAAAATACTTAAAAATTCGGGATTTTAAAATCCCGAAATTTCCCGGGATTTCATTTTTTAAAATCCCGGTTTTCGGTACTTTCAAATCCCGAAAATCCCGGGATTTTCGGGAATCGGGAATTCCCGTTTGGCATCCCTAATTTGTACTTATGTGAAAAAATATTAAAAACATCTCCAAATTTTTTTTGTTCAATAATCCCAGATTTTTGGTGACTTTTTGAATTTCATTTTTTCAGTTGTTTATCAGAGCGAAGCTATGCCCTACACATTTACTGTATCACTTTTTTAAAGTAAAGTATTACGTGATTTGCAATTTTTATTTCCTGTATATGTACTGAAATATAAACCTATAATACTCTGCCTTACAAGGGATACTGGTTTCACTGGCAGGCCACATTTCCATTCCGACGTTATACACAGATTTTAACTTGATTATTAAATTAACATCAGAAAATCCATAGCGTTACACGTAAATATTCAAAACCACGCAGTGAAATAACCGAACCGTTCACGAGTACTTTCACAAAGATTTCAAGTCATATTTTATGCGTATAACTCATTCCGCAACAACATCGAAGAAGTCCAACTTCCTTATATTATATTCCCGAAAAATTAGCTTACATACTCAACTCACCCCTCTGCAATCGCAACAAATTCTAAAAACGTTGTGTCAGGGGGCTGATAGAAGGTTTACTCAAAAAGGCCTATTAAACGGTCTTCCGTTGAAGGCCTATCAGAAGATCTGGCGCACTGTGGAAAATTTTGATTTCCGTATCGAAAATGGTTTTTGCAAAGTTTGGATTTTTGATAAAAAAATGTATATTTCGTAAAACTGAGATGACGTACTACACTAATATGTATAGACAAAGTTTTTTAACACATCGTTTATAAGTACATGAAACTAAAGTTTGAAATTAGGCATTTTTACATTAGATATTGAAAAGTATTTTGAAGCTCAAAGTTGAATGCAATTTTTTTATACGTTTAATTAAAGTCCAAGTATCTGTTATATATTTTTCAAAAGGGGATATAAGCAAAATTAATTTACATTTTATAAATTTTAATTATATCTTATACGTTGCATACTTTAAGAACTTTAAGAAAATGCGGAATTTTTCTACATTAAATTTAAACTTTGAAAAGGATTTTAACTATGTAAGTGCAAAGGAGTACCCAGGAAAATCCTTTGGATATTATATAGCATCACATATTATGTGATATTCATCTGCAATTATCTGCGATTAACGAAACAAAATAAAAAAACTAACTTAACCTAAAAATATTTTTTTTTACAAAAAACACTTTTTTTTGAGAAAAATGCAAATGTAATTGAATCTTATTAAGATTTTATACATTACATGTAAAAATGAGTATATTTATAATATAATGTCGGATTTTACTTTAAATCCAAATTTTAACACACATGATACTGGACCCAAAAGTAACATTTGTGCCAAATTCCATCAAATTATATCAAAAATTACGACCTATATTTTGTTAATAATTTCTTTAAAGATACATGGACTGACGTACATCGTTAAATCGATTAGGGAAGTTAAAACATTAGCAAAAATATATAATTCACGCACCGCTACAGTAGTGTATGGTATAAACAGTGCAAGTTTCAAATTCATTGTAAAAGTAGCATAATAGCATTTCCTTTAAACAAAACTACACAAATTTGTCTTTAACATCCTGTGAAAAGGATGTTAAAGGCACGAATTTGATTAAACTCATTAATAAGACGGAAAAAAGTCTTGTTAATACATGTCTAGATTTTAAAGAATATATGTATATAGAGAAACAAGAAAGTTATTGATTTTTTATATGAAAATGTCATATATTTTTCACTGTGTGGCGGACCGATCCTCATAATTTTAGGTTTTATATAGGTTGCGGTTCCTAAAAAAGTTTTTTTCTACATTTGATAGGGTTTAGGGTGAATTATGCTTCGATTGTCATAAAATTTGGTAGACATATTTTCGTTTCAACAAAACTTATTTTATTATGGTATTATTAAAATCAATTATTGAAGGTGACCTTATATGGGGGGCAGGGTTAATTATGGCCTATAAAGATTTCGATTGATATAAAACTCGATCATAAAACTGGCATTTTTATGTT